TCAAGTGACAAACTGCTCATGCCTGCATCCTTAAGGGACAATCACTGATTTCTTTTGCACACAAGTGTAAGTAGTGTGCTAATGAACACTTGCAAAGTGCTAAACTTTCCGGAAGATTCAGAGTTAAAGTGTGGGATTGTGGTGACAGGTTGAGCTGCAAGTTCAAGGTCTCTTTTCTGTGTCCTGATCCCATCCTCAGACATTACTAGCAGAACTCGAGCAGTGCTACGGGATGATTATGTCTGAAGAGTTTTCTTCTTGTGTTAGCCTTTCCCAGTGCTAGCTCATCTAATCTTGTATCATCAGTTTTACTGAAGAATGGCACCTCCCTGATTCCTCCTGTGTATTTCACACTCCATTTCCAATATCCAATACAACAGCTTCTTCAGTGTTTTCAACTAAATAAGCCTTAACTCATACCTCAAATCTTAAAATGGCGTTCTTCCTCCTCCCCCACTCCGCTTGTATTTACATGTTCAAGTTCTGACTTCCCTACCAAGTCACATGGTCAACCATGTTGAAGTCATATTTCATTTTTTTAACTAGTATTAATTTTTTCCATCCCAGTCAGTTTTCTGTCCCTCCCTTCTCTCCTCCCAGTCCAACCTCCTCGCCATCCACCTTTTCTCCTTTTTCTACAGAAAGGGGCAGGCCTCCCATGTATATCAGCCAGTCATGGTTTATCAAGTATCTCCTCTGCTATTAAGGCTGGAAGAGGCAACCCAGTAGGTGGGAAGGGACCCCAAAACAGGTAACAGAGTCAGAAACAGCCCCTACGTCCACTGTTAGGAGTCCCACAAGAAGACCAAGCTTTCCAAGTGTAACATGTGCAGAGGGCCTAGGTCAGTCCCATGCAAACTTTCTGGTTGGCGTTTCAGTCTCTCTGAGTCCCTATGAGCATATGAGCCCAAGGTAGTTGATTGTGTTGGTTTTCTTTGTCTCTTGCCCCCTCTGGTTCCCATACTCCTCCTCACCTCTTTTCAGCAGGATTCCCTGAGGTTCGCCTAATCTTTGGCTGTAGGTCTCTGCATCTGTTTCTATCAGTTGCTGGGTGAGGACTCTCTGATGACAACTGGACTAGGCAACAATCTATGAGTATAGCAAAATTCACTAGGAGTCATTTCATTGACATTTATTGATTTATTTATTGCCGTTCATGTGTGGTTCTATCCTAGGTGTCTGGGTTGTCCTGCCTCTGGGTCCTTACCCTACAGGCAATGTCAGAGGTGGGCTCCCTCTCATGGTATGGGTCTCAAGCTAGTCTAGTCATTAGTTGGCAACTGCCATAATTTCTGTCCCACCTTTATTCCCAGCATATCTTGTAGGCAGGGCACATTGCAGGTCAAACATTTGGTCAAAGGTTCCATTGCACTAGGTTCTAGGTCATCTCAGAGATACCCCTGATTCCAGTTGTCTTTCCTAGTACTCTCTCCCTCCGTGCTCCCCAAACCTGACCCCTCCTGTTCCCATGCCCTCCCCACTCCCATTCAGTCCCCCCATTCACCTGTGATATCTATTCTATTTCCCCTTCACAGTGAGATTCCTGTATCTCCCCTGCCCTTTAGCCCTCCTTGTTACCTCGCCCCCCTAAGTCTGTGGGTTATAGCTTGATTCTCATTTACTTAATAGCTAATATCCACATATACGTGAGTACATACTTCAACAACCTCCATAAAATTGGAAAATCTAAAAGAAATGGATAACTTCCTTGATATAGACCAGTTACCAATGTTAAATCAAGATCAGATAAACAAATAGACATATAACCCCTAAAGAAATAAAAGCAGTCATCTTAAAAAATAAATAAATAAAAAGCCCAGAGCTAGATTTTTTTTAGGACAGATTCTACCAGACTTTCATAGAAGAGCTAATACCAATACTCAAATTATTCCACAAAATAGAAACAGAAGAAACAGTCATTCTATAAAGCTACAGTTACCCTGATACCCAAAGCACACAAAGACCCTACAAAGAGAATTACAGACCAATTTCCCTTAAGAACAATGATGAAAAAATATTAATAAAAAATAATTGAAAACTGAATTCAAAAACACATTGGAAAGATCATCCACTATGATCAAGTGGGCTTCATACCAGAGATGCAAGGATGGATAACAAAAGTTGTTAATGTAATCCACCATATAAACAAATGAAAGAAAAAAAATGACATGATCATCTCATTAGATGCTGAAAAAGCCTTTGACAAAATCCAATACCCCTTCACAATAAAAGTCTTGGAGAGATCATGGATGTAAAGCACACATAAACATAATAAAGGTAATATACAGCAAGCCAATAGCCAAAATCAAATTAAATAAAGAGAAACTTTAAGCAAGTCTACTAAAATCAGGAACAAGACAAATTGTCCAGTCTCTCCATATCTATCCAATAATACTTGAGGTTCTAGCTAGAGCAATAAGACAACTAAAGGAGATTAAGTGAATACAAAGTGAAAAGGAAGAAGTCAAAATATCTCTATTTACAGATAATATGATAGTATAGATAGGTGACCCAGAATATTCTACCAGGGAGATTCTATAGCTGATAAATACCTTCAGTGAAGTGGCTAGACACAAAATAAACTTTAAAAAAACCTACCAGTATCCCTTCCATATACAAAAGAAATTAGAGAAACAACACCTGTCACAATAGCCACAAATAATATAAAATATATTGATATAACTCTAACCAAGCAAGTAAAAGACCTATATAGCAAGAACTTCAAGTCTTTGAAGAAAGACATGGGAGAAGATATCAGAAGATGGAAAGATCTCCCAAGCTCATGGATTGGTAGGATTAAAAGAGAAGAAAATGACAATCTTACCAAAAGCAATCCTCATCAAAATTCTGACACAATTCTTTACAGAACTTGAAAAAACAACACTTAACTTTATATGTAAAAACAAAACAAAAACAACAACAACTAAGAAAAATGGACAGCTAAAGCAATCCTGTACAATAAATAAACTTCTGGAGTGAAGTGTGATCCTAATTACTCCTAATCAATAAAAATCTGGAGTCAGATATTAGGGTGAAAGCTGAAAGATCAGAGAAGCAGAGCAGCCAGCTACCAGAGACTCTGAATCGTTAGATTGAATGGGGGCAATTCTGTCTCTATGAATTTTCAGACTGAATCTGGGTGGGGGGGGCATCCTGTCTCTACCCACATTATATTGCTGTCTCCACCTCCCTAGTGCTGGAATTAAAGGATGTGCCTCCCTAGTGCTGGCTTCAAAGGTGTGAGTCACCACCAACTGGCTCTGTTTCTCTTTTAGACTGGTTCAATCTTGTGTAGTTCAGGGTGGCCTTAAACTCCCAATCTTCCTGCTTCCTCCTCCCAAGTGCTGGGATTAAAGGTGTGAGCCACCACTGCCTGGCCTCTGTGGTTAACTAGTGGCTAGCTCTGGCCTCTTGTCTCCAGGCAAGCTTTATTCATTCGAACACAAACAAAATATACAACACTCAAGGTATCACCAATCCTGATTCAAGCCCTACTATAGAGTAGAACAATAAAAGCCACATGATATCAGCATAAAAACAGACAGATTTATCAATGGAACCGAATCAAAGACCCAGATGAAAATTCATATATCTATGGACACCTGATTTTTGATAAAGCATCAAGAAATAAACAATGAAAAAAAGAAAGTATCTTCAGACGTCAATGCATAGAGGTTTGCAACCAGATACATACCTGTCACCCTGCCAAACCCCAGTCCAAGTGGATCAAAGACTTCAACATAAAACCAGATACACTAAGCCATATTTCTTGACTGTCAGTACCAGTAAATGGTTCAAGAGTACAGATTATCAGCAAATGTCGTTCCCTCTGCAAGATCAAAAACTGAGCTGCCCCTCTTGCTTTATCCCCACTTGGCACACTGAATCTAACTATTCTCTTCTCAGGCCGTCCTCCTGTCAAACGATTTCACCTTCGCTTTAAAAAGTACAGAAAGAAAACTTTCAAGTGCCTGTATTTGTAAATTCCCAGCATTCTTGTTGGGAAAGCATATTAGGTATTTAAGGTTTGAGAGGTTTTTGTCCTTTTGAATATCTGTAAGGTCAGCAATCCTCTCCTAGCACCAGCTAATGTATCAGCTGGCTGTAATGGCCCACAGCTTTAATGCAATCACTAGGGAGGCAGAGGCAAGAGAAGCTCTGCATTGGAAGACAGCCTGGTCTACAGAATGTGTTCCAGGACAGCTAGGGCTGTACACAGAGAAAGCTTGGGTATCTATCTATCTATCTATCTATCTATCTATCTATCTATCTGGTGTAGGAGGTCCTTCTGTCTATATGTTGCCTTCATTGGTTCTTAACCTCTCTCCCTACTACATCTATCCATTTATTTATTTATTAGTGTGTGGGGTGTGTTTTATAACTTCAACCACAGTGAATGGATGGCCTTCTTTCTAAAGGTCATATAGAAAATGGGACACAACACAAGCCAGCAACAGGCTAGACACTCAGCCCTCAGCGTCTTAGAAGGTCCCCTAGGGAGGCAGCTGTGTTGCTCTTCTGTAGTTTAACAAGAAAACCCTTTTGGTGAAGAGAAGGGACCTTGCAGCTTTCAGGCATGCCTTAGGCAAAATCAGGCCTTTTTTCATCATGGTTTTGTTTTTTTTAAAGATTTGTCTCTCTCTATTTCTATCGATTTATCTATCTATCTATCTATCTACCTTTCTCCCCCACAACACCTCCTCTTTCCCTAAATTTAAACTGCACACTGTGTTGATTAAAACATATCTTTCTTTTTATCCTACTAGATTTCTAATTTGAGAAACTATTTATGTATGTGATTATCTCAAAAATGAAAGAGAACTTAGGAGAAAACATCAATCATCTCGACCCACAACTTCCTCCTCTAACCCACCCTGCAGAAGAAGTTAAATTCCTAGAGTATTTTTCAATTTAAGAGAACAGTGGAGGGCGAGAGCAGATTGGCAGCTGGGCTGTGCTGATTCTCTAGTAACCAGGGCTCTCTGCTTTCCTTCCTTCAGCTCAAGACGAGGATGCATCTTCTGTGTTTGCAAAAAGTCAAGGTTCCAGCGACACAGAAACCACTACAGGTCCTGATGGTGAGTGAGTCTGAGCTACCGGTGCTCAGCTATGAATCTGTGGTATTTTGTGCACATGTAAATCTAGGATTATGGGAACTATCAGATCAAGGAATCGATGTATTTGGTTAGAACAAAAGTAAATTTCAAAAGCCAAAAGTGTGCTTATGTGTGTGCATATGAAGAAATTCTGTTTTAAGATAACACACGTGGTTTATGGCTTAAACATTCCTCATTATATTGAGGTCACAGTGAGTCATTCAAAGTCAAACTGAAATCTGCCTGGCCTGCTGTTATCCCTGCTGTGATCCCTCCAGTGAGCTTGGGCTAAAATTCTTCTCATACACTCCACTGTTTGACCTCTGATGTTTTGACTAAATACACAAGGACTCTTTCAGAGCACCTTAAACATAAACCCACTTAACTTTAGATGCCTTTTAATCAGATTCATATAAAGATCCCAGAACCATGAACTTATTAACATCCCCTCCCCTACACATCCTTGCTGAGAAGACTCTGAAATGCCATTATTTGCATTAGAAAAATACCTGTTTCTGCAGACATGATTCTGCTGGGTCACGGGGGTTTTTGTTTTAAATATTATAATAAAGAGTCTTTTCGGTTTGATTAGAGAGGTGTGCTGAGTGGGATTTAGATGAATTATCCTTTAGTAACACCAAGTACTTGCTGCTGGAGAAGCCAGGATAGAAGAGCCAGCAGCTACCCACAGCACAAGGGACTTTCCTTACTTCTGTAGACTTCGCAGACCCGGGCCAGTGATCTTGGCAGCTTACTAGATAAAATAAAAGCCAGTGAGTCTGGTTGCCTTGGGACTGGGAAGGGAGAAAAGTCACAGAGGAGATCCCTTAACCCTTCAGCAGCAGCCTATCACAGAGACAAGAAAACTAGAATCCATAGGATATCAACTATGTCAAGTGATACATGTTTACTAATTTTTGGTGATACCTAAAATGATAAAGTTACATTTGTTAATGGTCTGCGCTATAATCTATAGATAAGTCATATAATTTCTAAGTCAGGTTAAGAATATTCATCTCCAGTATTACTCAGTTCTTTCTGGGTAAAACCTCATACTTGTTTTAGCTCTTGGCAATATAATACTACTGTTCTCATCTGCAGACACCCTCCCATGCAATCCTGGACCCCAACTTCTCACTGTAACTCAACAACTATCACCGAGCCCCTCCCGGTGTGCCTGGTCTCTGATCATCACCATCTTCCACTCAGTTTCTGAGAGATGACTAATCACTTGTCTCTCTGTATCTGGCCTACTTCTTTTGATATAATCTCGAGTTCCACGGATGTCACAAATGACAGGATTCGTTCCTGTAATGACAATGAGTATAACTAGTATTCCACCAGCTATGCCACACTTTCTTTATCCACTTAGAAATTCCCAAACATTCATGTCTATTTTTCTGGATATTGTGTTGCTTCTTTCCAATGTACTGACTTTGTTTCCTTCAGGTATATATGCTCAGTAGTTGAATCGCCAGACCATATGGTAGTTTTTTTCTCTCTCTCTGTGTCTTTATGGAACTTTCATACTGTTCTCTATAGTGACTATACTGTTATAAATTTACACTAACAGTCTGCAAGGCTTCCCCAAACCCATGTCAACCTTTATTATTTTCATGGTTTTTGATAACCATAATTTCTACTGCAAGGAAGTGATGTATTTGTGCAATTTTTAATCTTTACTTCAATATTCCTGTTGGCCATTTTTGAGAAATGTCTGCTTAGATTTGTTGCTCATTAATAAAGTAGGTCACATGCTCCCTTGCTAATACATTTCTATAATTCCCTCTATTCTGGCTTTCAACCCTTTTTCAGTGGTGTAGTTTATGGAGATTCTCTCCCATTCAATATAATGGTTCCATCAATTATTATTTTTTTTTTTGCCGCACAAGAACATTTTAGTTTGATGAAATTCCATTTGTCTACTTTAGCTTTTGTTTCCTGTCCTTTTCGTGGTCTGTGCCAAAGATTCTTGCCCTTGCCAAAGTCCTGTAGTGTTTCCCCTGTTTTCCTTCCACAGTTTCATGTCTTCTGTGAGTCTTCAATCTACTTTTAGTTGATGTGAAAGAGGAGTCTAGTTTTACTCTTCTGCATGAGGATATTCAACACATGCTGGCCACGTAGTGAAAAGAGCTGTCCTTTGTCTCACGCATGCTCATAATACCAACTAGACTATCTAGTAACTCACATGTCTGTTTAAGCCCAAACCTTGGTGGTTTGGTCATTCCAGTTTTGAAGTATATTTACCACCTCTTCCTTTGTGTTTCTTGCTCAGGCCCATTTTGGCTATAGGAGAATTTTATAGTTACACATTAAATTATTTCCCACTGTGTGAACAATATCATTAGAATTTTTATATGGATTAAGTTGGGGTAGAACAAACATTTTCTACTTTTTTGTGTTCTCTTTCCTTTCCTTCATCAATGTTTTATAGTTACATTTCCTCCTAGGTATGGGATTGATTTATTTATTTCTATTTAAAACAGGTCACTATGGGCAAAAGCAGTGCTACATATATATTATTGCAGCTTTGCTGAATTTAACTAGCAGTTCTACTAGAGAGAGGTCTTTGACATTTCCTATAAGTAAAATCAAATCATTGGTAAACATGGGCAACTTTTCACTTTAGGGGCCCTTTAGTTTTACTTTTAGCCCAAGTTCTCTGGCTATAATTTATAGAACTCTGCCAAATAAAAGTGGAGAGAGTATGGGACTCTTATTTCACATCTTAAGAAGCTTGTCAGTTGGGTTATTATAATCAATACTTATATGTTATGTTATATTTACACAGTTATATGCCAAACAAAATTGTAATGAAAGAAACTGAAGCCTGGGCAAAGGAAGCAAGGTTAAGGCAAGAAAGGACAGAAGGGAAGGTGCTGGTGGGCAAGGGTCAGATGATTATAGTCACTCAGATGTGTTGATGTGTATAGCTCCCTCCCTGAGTAGAGCTGATTTTTTGAGCCCATGGTCTGCGGACATGACTTGCTCAGGCAGGTGGGGAAACAAAAGAACCATGTGTGGAGGTACCTTGATGTCTCTCACACCCACTGCTGGGCAGCATCCCTTTGTCCCTCCTTCTCTACCACTCAGAGAGAGGCAGGAGGATGGGGCCTACTGTTCAAGTCAGGCTACTTCTGTAGTCTGCCACACAAGTACAAGGTGAATCCCTTCAGGCCCAGCTCTGAGCTGAGAGCTCCCTTCTTCTCATACTTGAGTCCTGAGTGCTCACCGAGCCAGCTGAGAACCTCAGAGAGCAATGTGGTGGTGAGAGAGGGCTGGCATGAGTGAAAGGAAGCTAACTGTGTGTGCTGACTGACAAGAGACCCAGACGGAACCCTCTGAGCAAGAACTTGGGTGGCAGCACTGGCCTAGCAGCTCTCACAGGACATCACATGGGTCTTGTTTCAATATATCCCATAAACAATTTGATTCCTGCATCCATTGGTTATTCAAATGGACATTTTACATGGATTTTTAGAGCTTTCCTTGCTATTGACTTTTTTTGTTTTGTTAAATCCTAAGCAGTATAATTTACAATTAATAAAATATAATGGGCTTTGTTGTATGATCTATCATATTATCTGTCCTGAAGAATGTTCTGGGTATAGGTCAGAAAAATGTGCCTATGGCAAATGGAACACCCTGGGAATGACTGCTGGAGCCTTGGGTCTTGGGTACGATTTAATCCTTTTGTCTGCTTGGGATTTTCTGTCTCTGTGATCTTACCATCACTGCAAATGCAACACAAAAGTCCCCAGCTGCTGTGTTACGAGGCCAGCGATTCACTTCGTGCTACTAAGATCAGCTTTGTATATTTAAAATTTGTTCTCTTGCAGAATTGACCCCTTTGTCATTATAAAACAACCCACCTTACCTCTTTTCACTATTACTAAGTCTTTTTATCTGCTGTATGATAGCTATTTCATGCTTCCTCTTGATCCCCCTGAGCACAGAGTAGTTCCCTCCATCTCTTTGTTCTCAATCTATACATACCTTGAGTGGTGAGTTAAGTTTCTTCAAAGCACTATGTAATTTGGTCACGTGTTTTATCCCAATCAGTAACTGTGACATTTACTTGGAAAATTGATTCATTTATATTCAAGGTAAGGTCTTACTTCAGCCACTGTATAAATCATTTCCTAGCTTTCCTGTACTTCCTTTCTCCCATTCTTCATCTTATAAAGCAAAGGTAATTATTTTCATCACACTTGACACAACACTTATAAAAATGTTTTAAATATATAATATAATATAAAGAAGGGAAAGTACACACTAACAAGGAAATAGTCAAGTATAGTGACACACGCCTGCAGTCTCAGCTCTTTGGAAGTAGAGGCAAGGGGAGTCAGAAGTTCAAGGTCATGCTCAGCTACATAATAAATTTATTCTGTCCTGGACTACATAAGATGCTGCTTTTTAAAATGGGAGAAGAAATGACTGCCTATTGGTAAAGTAAAATTGTGGCAACAGATTGCTGCAACCAGCCCAAGCTATGTTAGATGCCTTAGAAGTCCAGTACTCCGTGTCGTTCCTTTGCATTGGAGATCTTCCAGAGCTCTTAGTAGCCAAACCTGGGAATGAGAGATATTAGCTTTTTCTCAGTTTCAGATTATATCCTGGAACTTGGCCCTGAGCTGCTAAAACCCGTCACTTACTCCTCCTCCCTACCCTCAGTGATATGACCGTATAGCATACTAGGTTCAGTTAGTGCTGAGCAAAGCAGTCCACACTGACTAAGCCGAGATGTGCTTAAGTCTCATGGTAGCAAGGACCTGCACGGTAGCATACATCAAAGAAACACAATTCAGTTGGTATTGGTGTGAGCCAAAAAACCAGGCACAGTCTATTCCTGGTGCCAGGACAAGGCTGGAACTCTGTGAACTGGCTTGTTAAAGCTGCATTACCTGAGATCTGAGATAAATGTTAGAGACAGTCCCTTGGCTAGCAAGGCTGGCACCAAGCTGGGTCACATACAGAGAGATTTTCCTAGTCACAGGAAGGGAGCATCTCTGCTATAGACTGCCAAAGCTGGACCCAATGCAGACCCAAAATGGAGTCTATTCTTGGAACCCACAGCTCTCTGTCTGTTGTTAGAGCTAATCTAAAGGCTTTGAGCTGTGGCCAAAAAACAAGATCTTCCCTTTCTCCTAGGTCCTGGGCCAAAGTATAGCAGGCGTGATCACAGGATCCAGACAAATCCTGATGCTAGCTTGCTTTCATACCTGTCTTCCCAGCAGGGAGAGTTCTGTTTTCCACTCTGCTACCATAGAATTAAGGAGGCATTGTAGAGGTAGTTAGCTACCAAGTCTAATGTAGTTGTAGTGATTCAGGCCCTGAGCCTACCTGGTCCCATGAGACGGGGCAGGGTGGGGCACAGGGCTTTCTCCCGCACCAGATTTCTCTGTGGCTAGCTGTGTTCTGTTTCACATTTAAGGCTTGGCCTTAATTATACATCCCTCTCATAAGCAAGAAACACCTCCCCATGCAGGGCTCTTTGGAGTGAAGGGAAGGAGGCCAAAAGTAAGTCTTTACCACCTGCCTGTTTCAGTGTACCTTTTCAATTGTTACACTAGACCATGAGAGTGACATCTGTCACCCCATTTGTGAGAGTGGCATCCATTACCCCATTTATTGTCACTGTTGATTCAGCTGATCTGGATAGCCAGGCAGCTGCCCCCTGCTTCCCTCACAGGGCCATGAACTTCCTTCCTGAAGCTGTCTGCTTCCTCATAAGGAAGAACAGTTTTCCATCAAGGGTAGACTACACTCCCCTGCTAGGGCCTCCAAACAAACTCATTCTGTTAAAGCGGGCGCCATGGTCTTTCAGCGGATCTACTGTTCCTGTAAATCTAGTTAATGAGCTTGTGATCAGCTCCACATTTTTCCACCTTTGATGGGGTAAAAAGGAAAAGTAAATTACCTTGAGTCGACAATCACTTCAGAAATAAATCAGCCATCATGGGGAGTAACACGGTTGTGTACAGGATAGAGCAGGCTTTTCTCCACCCCATAGGTTGGCCATCACCTGAACTGCCCCCCTTAACTCTAAGACTTCTACTCACGAGCATTCCTGACCCAGGAGATGCTCCAACCCACCTCCAAAACCATGGACATGTTTCCTTACTACTTGTTCCCAAAGTAAGCTCTGAGGATGTCCAGCCTATGTGTTGCACCAGTGTGTAAAATGCTGAGTTTCACCCGAGATACTGTGGAGACCTCAGCAAGAACTTCTTTAATATCATTTAACATTACTTTTCCACAGAGTTATTTTATCATGGAACACTTTTTATAGAACATGTATTAATAGGCTGGAGGCCTTAGAGTCTTTTGACTAGAGGCAGGAACAGAAAACGAGTGTTTCTTCCGTGCTTAACCCTGTACACTCCACTCTGAGAGGGAATCCCGTGTGCCAAGCTGAACAGTGCACAAATACTTCTTTGGCTGAGAGAACTGTTTCATCTGGTGAGTTCACTGGTGGAATTTGAAACGAGATCACAAATAATTAAGAAAATGGTGCGGGTCTCAGGTAAGGGAAGAGAGACCAGTGTTTTAAGCCTGTAACCCTGGGAGAGATCTTGGCCATCCAAGGGCATTTCTCTTCCAAGTATCTCTGTAATATGGGACCAGCATCCACCATTACTCCATTCTTTTACTCGTTTATGTTCTAAAAGCAAAACAAAGAACTTAGATTGTCGGTTTTGTGCAAGTAAATGAAAACTTCCCAAATAAAAATAACTAGAGGTTAGAACAGTGATGGTGTTGGTGGGTACTGTCTGTGCTTGGCAGGTAAGCGGGATATGTGTAGTTAAACATGCCATATTTGAAGGCGGTTGACATAAGAAAGATCACTAGGAGCTGGGTGTATTTCTTGGTTCTTACAAATTGAAAACTGATGACCACTGGCACTGGTCCTGGACATTTTGCTAGAGGTTATGTTTTCTGGCCAGGGATTTGAAATCAGAATTTTACTGTTGTAATTATCTGTCATTGTCTGTTTCACGTGTGTGTTGCTAGGAAATCTACTCATGACTCCAGCATTCAAGGCAAGCATTCTACCAACTGAGCTATATTCCCAGTCTCCCACTGTCCATTTCTATATTTATTTTCTTAGCTTACAATATGGGCTTTGGATAGTGAAAATCTCATTAAACTTGCTGACCCTTGGAAATTTCCAGAGTGGCTGCTTTGGGCCACTTCTGGAGAAAGGCAGTAATTATGCATTCTATTTTTATGCAAATGCTCACATAGACTGAATACAATCAAGTAAAAGGCACATGTGTGGCTTGTCTATCTCGTGGCATCTATTGGCTGCTGTACCCATTGGCAATTTGCAGGAACTGTTTTGAATTCTGAAATTGAAAACACAGTGAACTAAACAGGTCTTTCGACATTGCCATTACGGAGGGGACCCTGCACCTCTCTGCATGTCAATGCTCCGCTTTTCTTTGTTTTCTCTTTATTTTCCTTAGATGTGTATTAAGGCCTTTGAATTTATTTATTTAAGGATGGTAATAAATACACGCAGCCTGCCAAACCACAAATCTTGCATGAAATGACAGCTCAGCTGAGAGGAGAGTGAATCCTAACCTCCTGGTCCCCGTTGTCATGAATAAATGAGAACAGAAAAGGCATAGACAGGAGATGGGAACGATTTCAAACCGGAGTGGCCGTTTTCGTGCATTTAAGAGTTTAGGTTTGATAATGATTGCACGTTTTCTGCTTACAGTTGAAATGAACAGCCAGGACGACAATGTAAATGAGCCAAGAGCGTGTCAGCAAGAAGATTTCCAATAGGTAAGCTGCCCCCATGGAGGGATTTTTTCGGTTCATGAGCCAGCCATAAGGAATAGTTTGCAAAGGGCGTGTTGTATTTCTCTTTGCTTTGTCAAGTCCTGGAGTGTAGTTCGAACTAAACTTTGGAGATTTGTAAAACAATACAGAGTGAAAAAGTAAGATTACTCCTAGAAACTTGCCATCTTTAGCAAAACGAACAAACAAAAAAGGATAAGCTGTGGTATACTTAAATCGTGGAGCACCTTAGATTTCCTCACTTTGACTGAAAGAATAGCGTTTTCCCATTTGTCTTACTGTTCGCCTGCCAGAGTGATCAAATTACTTCAGTGACTTGAGCTGATTCCAGAAGCATCTCTTTTCCACAATCGTCATACTGTGTTGTTTTTTTAAGTGTAACACTAAATTTTTAACCAAGAGAATGTATAAAGACATATAAATACATGTTGACAGTAAAGTAGGTGCCTAAGAAAGCATACTAACTCCTGAGGACACACACATCTGTACAGACAGACATAGCTGGAGTCCATTGAACCCAAGGCAACACCCAGGAAAATAAAATTGGTAACAAGACCACATAGTCTACATCATATCTAGAGTGATAAGCAATCGATCAGCCTTTCCCATCCCTGGAGAGGGCTGTGGAAAAGTCAGAATAGGCTGAAATAAAGAAGTTAGCCTTACTATTAACTGAATGTTTAAAAACACCAAAGAAGAATGAATTGGGAATGAATGTAGAACATAGATAGTGCCTTGGTTGCCCTCTTCACTCCCCGGTCCTCTTGATCTCTTCACCCTGCCACAAGGCTACCTTGCACCATGCGTGTGCCCCAGCATCACAGTGGAATGAAGGCTCAGACCGTAGGAGAGAACATGTCTATCCTTTTCATGACAATCATGAACTTCATGGGACCAGAAAGCTAATACCATTTGTATAACAGGAAATTGTTTTTTAAAATACACATTCATATATACATTAGCTCATAAACATTTTAACCTTACCCATGTATATGAAATATCCTGTGAAGTTATAGGAATTAATAGCTATGAAGTTACCATTGAAAGTAATGAACTGAGACAAAATTTAAACAGTTTATACTCTTCCTCAGTGTTTCCTGGTCTTTTATTCTTTAGCTGCCAAAAAACTACAACTTTTGGATTTTTTTTTCTATTAATTTCCTATGTAATTAGTATCCAGATAAAGTGCTAGTATAGATCTATTTTCCTTAACCAAAGGATGCATGGAGGTTTGAGTTCTTCCAACTCCAAATTCTTTAATGATTAGAGCATGCAGCAATTGAATCTGTGAACATAGTTGCCACCATTTCTTTCTCATCTGCTTTTAAATAGCTCAAGCACTGCTCCTGGCAAGTATAATGGTGCTATTCTGTGTTCATACAGATCTCAAATATTATCCTTTAAAATGACTCGTCGGCCACTAATTAATTAATGAACTAATCAATCCAGGCATCATCTACTCTGACTTCTCTTTAAAGTGATAAGGGAACTGAGACCAGTACAAGCTTGTTAGGTTGCCTGATTTCACTTCACTGGTTTTCTGAACTTTATCCCATTTGTATTTAATGCATACCAAATAACTCCTTGTTATCCTTAAGTAATGCAAGATGACAATTACAAAACATACGAAGGGTTTTGATAATCTAGAGGTAATTTAAGTTACACAGAAGGATGTGCATAACTTTTATGAACACACCATACTGCTTTACATGTGATACTTGGACACGCATAGCTTTAACTATCCTTCGGGATAGCTGCAATCTACCATGGATACTGTTTCTAACTTTCATTTCAAGTTCCCCACATCTTCACAGCCTTCTGCACTTTGTGATGTCACATTTTTCTTCTTTCAGCAGAATCATGGATTAGACCCTGTTCTTATACATCCCTGTAATAGTTTATTTACTCTCTATAGGAATTAATTATTAATTACACCAAACATATGCTAATGTACACTACTATTGGGGTTAGGGGTTGCATATAGCTGTTACCCACTGTTCCTCATCAGACTTAGTATGATGTACATTAATACTGAAATATCTCCTTTACAAAGTTAATATAATCATCTGGTACAAAAAATGTGGATTAACTGGAACTCCTACAGAGGGTTAGTTGGCATAAAAAATGTTATAACCTTGCGTTTTCAATTACTCTGACCAAAATCAATGTATAAGGTAGAAAGGCTCATTTGGACTCATGCTTGAGCAATGGTAGGCACATCAAGACAGGGAACAGATTATTTAAGTTTCAACCAAACCTTTAAGGTCATACTCACAATGACTATGTGTCCACAAAAATCTTTAAAAAAACTGAAGCCAATTCTTTCAAAACTATTATACTTAGATGAAGAAGGTAAAAAGTCCAATGAATTTAGCATAAAAAATGACCATTTAACATTATCAAACTTAATTTTATCCCAGGAATGCAAGGATGGTTTGATACATGCAAATCAATAAATGTAATGACATTAAATAGTTTGGAAGATAGAAATCATATGATCATTTCAACATATTGAATTCTATATGTTTTAGCAACACTTCATGAACCCTCTGTTCTTATCACAAATATTACACCTTCAGAAAACAGTCATGGCCAGCATTATACCGAATGTGGAAAAAATGAAGCACATCATCTAAGCCCAGTATATCACCACTTTTCAACAACTGGGACAAAATGCCTGTTAGAAACAATGTAAAGAAAACAGTATTAGGCTGTAGCAGCCCAGTTTTTGATGATGACAGGAGCTTATAAAATGACCTTCTCATAAACGGGAGCATCAGGAAGCAGGGCATTGGACCAGAATTGGGAATGAGTACAAACTTGGATGAGCTGCTTCCAAACAGATAAGCCTGACTGGCAATGGTTCCACAACACCCCAAACTAGTTTCAGAAACCAGGTATTCAAGGACCTTAACCCCGTGATGAACCTTTCACCTGCAAACCACAGCAAACCACTAAGAGGACAAGCATTCATCATCACTCTGTACTAACAATGGGTACTATGATTGACTGTGTCCTTTCTTAAACTGCTGCATAGAAAAAGTTCTTCCTCCTTTACATTGCTTCTAGCTCAGCATTTAGTCACAGCAATGAGAAAAGCAACTAGTAGAAAACCTAAGTTTCTTCACAAAGCTGGAACAACAGCAATGAAAACCTAACCATATGAAAACAGAAAACAATAACAAAAATGTAATCCAGAGGAAGAAAAAATCCAGGTTAGAGGTATGGCAGTCTTTGCAAAGTCAGAATCCACCTGCACCTGCAGGTGATTGAAATTTGTCCGGATTTGTTTTGTTTTTTACCGTGTACAAAATTCAACTAAAAGAGGGATCAAAGACATAAATGTAGCATCCAAAACTATTTGAGCAAAACGCTTTATGTCATTGGTCTGGGCAATGTTTTTTCTGGATAGGATTCCAATAGCACAAGAGCAAAAGGAACACTTTGTAAACAGGATTACGTCCAAGAGCGAAGCTCCTATGCCGCAAAGAAATCAACATAATGGAGAGACATTGACAGTGGGAGGAAGCATTTGTCAGCTGTATATCTAAAAAGAAGAATATCCAGAGTAGAAACCAAAAGACTAAAAGCAAATTTTCTACTTAATAAGAAAATGGCCCAAATAAACACCTCTCAAAAGAAATACCAGTATACCAAACCTCATTCATATGGATGCTATGTTCTTGGTACAGTCTAAATATCTCACAATAGAATGGATGAAAATGTGATTTCTGTACACAGGGTCTTGACAGTCATCATTGGAGAAGAACAAAATAAACTTAAGCAGCAGCAGTATAACTCACAGAAACACTGTGCTGAGTGAAAGACACTTCTGTGATCCTATTTGCAGAGATCTCATGTGTAGAAAGTTCTAGGACCAAGAATTGTTGGTTCCAGCAGGTTTGGCCTTGACAAAGAGATATATCTAGAATCATGAGGATTTTTCAGATATGATAGTGTCACGGACTAAATATGAATATAAAACTAGAATCAACAGAGTACATCTGATTCATGCATTTCCCTGGAGGTGAACTAACCTCAGTTTTAAAAGTCTAACTAAAATGAGCATAGACTTTTCTGGGAAAGAGTCTATTGAAGTTGTCTCTGGGTGGAGGACAGCAGATATGTAAAAAGAAAGGTCTCATCAATACAAAGCAACATAATATAAGTCTTTATTTGCATTCTGGTCCCTAGAATCTAGACTGTGGGAATAGTCTGGAAAGGATGGACACATCAAAGATAGATTGTTCAAAGATTTCTTTGAACACTTGAGTTAATCGTCCCCACCAGCTGAAGCAATGTGTCATGTGGCCTACATTAATCAGCAGTGATTTAGAAGATCATTAAAGATACCAGGTGTTAGCAATTACAGTGCAGATAGGTAAAGCCCTTTGATAGTCTAATAAGCTCTTGCTAGGCCTGGCTGAGGACTGACAGTTCATGGGCTGCATTAAAAACTATTCCTTGCTAAGCCTTGTGAAGATGCCTGATCTTTCATCTAACAAACGGTTTGTTTCTCTTTGTCTTCCTCAGGGCCACAAGATGAAGCTGAAGCAAAGGAACAAAGAACTGAAGCTAAATGACAACCCTCAGCATCGCAAGGCCTGGCCCTGGGGGACTTGGGAAGAAGATAGTTTGTGCTGTGGCAGAGGGTGGGGGAGGGGGGAGGCGAGTCCGAAGAAGGAAGGGTCCTTTGCTCTAACACTCCAGCTGCATTTTGTTTTGTTTACCTACAGAAAAGGAAACAGGAAAAAATTAAAAAAGGAAGAAAGAAAGAAAAAGGAATAAGAAAGCAAGCTCCCTCCACTTGTAAGAGGCCCCATGCTAAGGCAAACTTTCAGGCGCTCCGTCCCTTTCATTGCTGTCTTTTCTCCATGCCTTACCCTAGGGTTGGTGATAGGGATAAGACTCGCCTGTGTCTCCTGGTCCCTGTCTGTTTTCTTGGTTACCTCACAAAGCTGGTCATAGAGTGATTTCTCCCGGGGCGGGGGGGGGAGGAGAGGAAGGTGATTGACAAGCTTCAGGCTAAATTTCAAGAATCACCAGGCTCAAAATTGGTAAAATCTACAGACAGAGGAGGAAGGATAGAAAATGGACAGAAGCCTCGGAGAACACCTTGAAGAGGTCTGAATGAGGGGTTCAAAATGTTTTAATCGGGGTTTAATGAAGAAGGTGGGGCCTGGCAGCCACCAGGGTCTTCACCTCCACACCCAGGATGTCTTGTGCATTCCCTTTTGAGGCTGACTTTGAGCACAGCTTCATTGGTTTATAAGATCTTCACGGTGTGCTTCCATATAGAGCCCATCACTGACATGTGCTTCTTCATATGCAATGGGAAAGGGTATTATTATCATTATAACCTAATAGATGCACTTGCTCCATTTTAGGACCCAAACAAACCTATTAAATAATAGTTTCAATTTCCAAAGTTCCTCATGAAATCTCTACTTTTCATAAAAGAATATCCATGTTGAGCCAAGGTGTGTTAGCCCACAGAGGTTTACACTTGAAGTTAGCAGTCCTAGGAGCCATTGCTTCCAGTCCTGGCTTACCTATCTGCTCGTGCCAAGTTCAAGAATGATTTGATGGATCATCCACTCATCCAAAAGGTAGTTAGAGCTATTAACAACTTAAGAAGCCAGTGGAATAGAGTTAGCTCAAGCAATGAAGACCAGAGGAGGCCGGGCATCATCCCTACTCTCTGTCCCAGAACATACGGAAGTTCTCCCACTACCTCCCTGGGTTCCAAAGACATGGTAGTATCTTTTGCACATCACCTGATCTCTACAATGCTTTAGACTTGGCATGTTTATGTTGCTGTTCTTAACAGAAGGGGGATGGGAAGTGGGAACCGACAAAATCTAAAGTCAATAGTGAGATGATACCACTTTATAAATGTCTCATCCAGCTCTCTGGTTTTGTCCTTGCCTGTGGAAAACTCACCTTATCTTCCTATGACCAGTTTCAGCTGTTCTGAATTAATTGCCTCTTCCAGAGAACATATTTTGTATAATAGAATAAGTAGCAAATCATACATCTGCATATGTTACCTTTTAACATCTCTAATTTTCATTAAAGCAATTCATCATAGCAACAAGGCTATTTCAGCAATTTCATGATGCTAACCCATGGCCTCTCTTCCTTCTACAGTTTGACATGCACGCACACACCTCTCCATTACACACTGTTTTCTAGAACAATACTTTCTCTAAATAATTGAAGAACGGATGCCATTCAGATATTGATAGCTTCAATGTTCTTGCCATCTTCCTAGCTATTTTACAAACGCCCATCATTTTTAGGACATGCCTGACAAAAGAACCAAGCTAGGAGGGGGTTTCCCCAGAACTTCCAGGGGAAGTACTGCTGGGACTCCTTAGGGGGCTATAGTGGACAGCAGGCTTCTAAATGGACAAAGGCAAAAAAGGGACAACCAGGACGGAAGGGATCCAGCCCACCTTTCTCTTTATTACCAATGGCAGCCATTTGATGCACTCATATTGCATGGGTTAAGAAATCAGAGGAGAGAACTCTATGAAAACTGTAGAAAAAGGAAAGCGCTCTTCGTATCTAGGAAACAGAGAGGGGGGAGTCCCACTCCTGCATTTGCTTAGATTTCTTTTTATGAATTAGACATTTTCATTTTTGCTTTGCCGTAGACTTTTGGTTGCTCTGTGGCTAAACGATTGTATGCTTTAAAATAAATAATGCAGTTAATTCACACTTCAATAATGAAATATTAAAATTTTAGCTCTGGGCCAGCCTGAAGACATCACAAACGAGGAAACCTGTTGCCTGCTGGCCCTAGCACTGCACAGGCTGTGCAATGCAGTCCATGTGGGAAGTAGACCAATTCTTCCACACATGAATTTCAGAGGGCCGTTTCCGATCACACTTCAGCCAGGCCACACGACATGAAGGGCAGTGGGAGGATGGGAGGAAAGTAGCCCTGTTGTTAGTCATGTTCACACACAGACAGTTGAAGTAGGCCTTCGACATAAGAGTCCTAATTAAAAAGGTACTCGCTGCAGGCTAGACAAAGGGGCTTTTCCTCTTGCTGGTAACTATTCAGATGATGGACAAGTCTTCTTTGATAAAAGCTTACAAAGAAGACATCCCAAGCCCTGTCTATGACACCAGGTCACATATTAATCACTGCAGCTAATTGTAAATCTTCCTATGAAACTCTGAAAAGCCTCTTTGTGAATTAGTCCAGTTCTGCTTGACGCACTTGGTTTGCAAAGACATTTCTCTGTATGTGGTGCATGTCGGCTGTGCTTTGAACAACAACAAAGTTAGCAGAATACGCTCGATATATTTTCTCGGGAAATAGGGTTTTTATCATATGACTCATTAAGGATTTGCCTTACCCTGACATTTGTGATATAAAGGAAAATCAGGAGAAAAGTACTTTTCTTGAACAAGATATGTTTTTACTTAACGCGAATACATGTAGTCTGTTGCTTGCAAGGAAAAAAAAAAAACAAATGTCTTCTGGTAATAATAGGGTAACACGTGCCTCTTTTGTTAAGCCAGTCTTGACATGCTGGACAGCTTCTGAGTCTGTTTGTCTGTTCCCATCTGTGCCACACACTATGATACTCAAATGACTGTTGCCTTCAAACTATATTTGTTAGAGCAGAGTGCAAATAAACTTCTTTGAGAGGATCGTGTGGAATCATGTGTTTTGTGAAATTTGTTCTTTAGCCACAAGCAAAAATCCTGCGCTCATTTCATACTATTTGGTTGTAAATAAGCATATTTAAAGTTACTTCTGTAAGTTCACTTTGACTCAATGATTTCCTTCCCTTCCTGAGTCTAACGGAAGTTTTATCCATGTTTTTCAAACTACAAAGAAGTAGACACAATAGACACACGTGCCCACAACAATGTTTTCTTTATGCTAGATAAGTCATTAACTTACTCACATAGGTTGATGAGCAAAAGGCAATGGGTCCAGCCGTGGGGTACATCCTCCATTACTGGAAGTCTCTCAAACACTCCCGTCATCTTGTAACTGACTGGCTGTGTGATCCTGGCAGCCACACACTCAATCCCCTGCTGAGAGAGTCATGATAGCTAAAATTACAAGAATGGTTCAAAGTGCAAAACAGGTCCACCAAAAATCACCGTGGAAAAACTCAATGCCCTCTCCAAAGGGGCTGTCCATAAGCATTGCACCAAAAGCAAGTCACTCTATCTCTTTCGGGACAAACGCTACCAGCTGTCCAGTGTTCTTGTCGGCCATTAAGTGAGCCCTTTAACAAAATGCCAGAGATGAACTGGCCTAAGGACATCCAGGCTGCCACTCTAGAGCAGCATGCTTTCTAGTAGTAAATAAGGTTTGAAGAAGAGATAAAAGGCAGGCAGCACAGTCCCCTGTTGTAGTGGGCACACTCAACACGTGGCTCACAGTGACAATGATGATAGTTGGACTTGATTCACACCATGCTAGGTACAATGCTTCGTTTATACCCAACTATTCAAGACTCTGCCTGTTATTCATGCTTCTCTACTGATGCTGTCAGTATTCAAACATGAGGCGATGGGGGCCATTTCTCAGCCAGACTATAGCGAGAGGGGACTGAAGAAAGGAATTGATTTTTTAGTTAAATTAATTTTGTCTGTTTCAGTGTTGAATATTCATTTTGAATAGGCATTCAGTTATCCGGATTCAGAGCATAAACTCTACCATTGAGCTAAGTTATTCTTTGTTATGTAATTGTTTTTGTACCTCATAAATAAAAGGCTTATTTTCTAAATACTATGCAATAAAACTAATACTTAACCAAAAATATAAATATTAAAGCTATAGCAGCTAAAACTATAATTAAGGAATTTTTAAATTATTTAACTTTGCATTATAATATTTTTGTAGTTACAAAAATTTGAGAAAGCCTTTAAATTAAGATTTTTTTAGCAACAGAAAAAAATGAGTACTGAACCAGGATGTTAAGTCTTTCTCTTGTTTGAAATTTCATAAAAAGGGGTAAGTCTTTGATGGAGGAAGGTCATTGGTTAATTATAATAAAGAAACTGCTTCGCTCTCATAGGTTAAAACATAGGTGGAAGGAGTAAACAGAACAGAATGCTAGGAGGAAGAGGAAGTGAGCTCAGATGCTATGCTTCCCCTCTCTGGGCCAGGCGCAATGAAGCAAGCCGCCAGGTCAGACATGCTGAATCTTTCCTAGTAAGCGCACCCCGTGGTGCTACATAGATTATTAGAAATGGGTTAAGAGTGTAGTAATAAGGGCGGCGGGGCTGCGTCCCCAGCACCCCAGCCGCCCGCACGGCTAGATTATGCCCGAAATAACAACACACAAACTGTATTCATTTAAACACTGCTTGGCCCATTCTCTTCTAGGCTAATTCTCACATATTAATTAAGCCCATTTCTAATCATCTGTGTATGGCACCCCAAGGTGTGCTTACCAGGAAGATTCTAGCCTATGTCCATCCTGGGTCGGAGCTTCATCCCGGGAGCGGGACCTGGCGTCTCTCTCAGGCGTCTGCTCCCGAGAGGAGAGCTGTCAAGACTGAGCTCACTTCCTCTTCCTCCCAGCATTCTGTTCTGTTTACTCCTCCCACCTATCCTCTAACCAATAAAATGGGCCAAGGCAGTTCCTTTATTAGCCAATGACCTTCCTCCATCATAAGAGGCTGAAACTAATGGGCCAGGCAGTGTTTAAAAGAATACAATTTAGCCGGGCAGTGGTGGCACACGCCTTTAATCCCAGCACTCGGGAGACAGAGGCAGGCGGATCTCTGTGAGTTCGAGGCCAGCCTGGTCTAGAAGAGCTAGTTCCAGGACAGGAACCAAAAAGCTACAGAGAAACCCTGTCTCAAAATATATATAAAAAAAAAAAAAGAATACAATTTGTGTGTTGTTATTTCGGGGCATAAGCTAACCAGGCAGCTGGGAGCTGGGTGACAGGAAAGCAGCCTGCAGCTCCTACAACAAGTCTTCAGCACCTATC